CATTGCAGCACGTTGCAATGCACTGCGGCGTGGCGGGGTGCATTAGCACGGGGTGCTGCAGTGGGATGTGATGTGTTGCAGCTGGTTGCATTGTAGGGCGCTGCGTTGCAGGGTGCTGCATCATGGGGTGCCGCGTTGCAGGGTGGGTGTATTGCAGGGTTGGTGCCTTGTAGGGTGCTGCATCATGGGGTGCTGCGTTGCAGGGCCGGTGCATTGCAGGGCCGGTGCATTGCAGGGTGGGTGCATTGCAGGGTGGGTGCATTGCAGGGCGCTGCATTGCAGGGCGCTGCATTGCAGGGCGCTGCATCACGGGGTGCTGCATTGCAGGGTTGAAGCATTTCAGGGTGGGTGCATTGCAGGGCACTGCATTGCAGGGCTGGTGCATTGCAGGGTGCTGCATTGCAGGGTACTGCATTGTGGGGTGCTGCGTTGCAGGGCCGGTGCATTGCAGGGTGCTGCACTGCCGGGTTGGTGCATCGCAGGGTGCTGCATCGCAGGGTGCTGCGTTGCAGGACTGGTGCATTGCCGGGCTGGTGCATTGCAGGACGCTGCATTGCAGGGCTGGTGCATTGAAGGGCTGGTGCATTGAAGGGCTGGTGCATTGCGGGGTGCTGCATTGCAGGATCAGTGCATTGCAGGGGTGCCCACGGTGCCACCTGTGCCTGCGCCCTGGGCGTTGCAGCAGCTCACGGTGCATGACGGGTGTTGCTCGGTGGTGCATTGTAGGCTGTTGCACGGCGTGACGGTGTTGCATGGCGTGACAGTGTTGTGTGTTGCACAGCATAATGGGGCGGTGTAGGGTGTTGCAGTGCGTGACAGGGTGCTGTGGGGTGTTGCCATGGGCGACTGCATCGTTGTGGGGTGCAGTTGAGCCCCCCAACTCCCTGGGCACCCTATGGCACCGGCTCATCCCAGCCGGATCAGAGCAGCAGGGATCAGACTGGGCCACCAGCTCTGTGACACCGGGATCTCCAGAACAGTCCCGGCAGCTCCAGCGATCCCATTTTTCCCCCTTCTCCCGGCCAATCCTCCCCCTCTGGCTGCTCCGGGCGGTTTTTCCGCTGCCGGCAGCAGCCGGAGCCGGGAGGAGCCGGCTGGAAAATCGGCGTCAGCGTCGCAGGGAGTGGGGGAGCCCGGAGGGAGCGCCAGGATGGGAGAAGAGCCCCCAGCGCTGGGATAGGGGCAGGGATACGGGATTGGGATACGGAGTTGGGATAAGGGGATGGGATTTGGGGTTGGGATAGGGGTCTGGGATTTGGGGGTGGGATAGGGGGTTGGGATATGGAGTTGGAATTTGGGGATGGGATTTGGGACTGGGATATGGGGTTGGGATTTGGGGATGGGATATGGGGTTGGAATTTGGGGATGGGATATGGGGTTGGGATTTGGGGGTGAGATATGGGGCTGGAATATGGGGTTAGGAGATGGGGTTGGGATTTGGGGATGGGATAGGGGGTTGGGATATGGGGTTGGGATTTGGGGATGGGATATGGGGTTGGGATTTTGGGGATGGGATATGGGGTTGGGATTTGGGGATGAGATATGGGGCTGGAATATGGGGTTGGGATATGGGGTTGGGATTTGGAGGTGGGATATGGGGTTGGGATTTTGGGGATGGGATATGGGGTTGGGATATGGGGATTGGATTTGGGGCTAGGATATGGGGTTGAGCTCCGGGGATGCTGGGATATAGGAAAGGGATTTGGAGACTGGCTATGGGGATCAGGTAGGGGGCCAGGATACAGGACCGGGATACGGGGCCGGGATACACGGGGTTAACGGCACTGCCTGGCCTGGGTGGAGGGGATTAGTGGCAGCTCCCACGGGATTAGACCGGGTGGTTGCTCAACCCGAGCCAGCCGGACCCGGCGCCGCCACCACCGCCCGGGTGTCCCCGCTCCCTGTCCCCACGCGTGTCCCAACGCCGTGTCCCTGTCCCGTGTCCTTGTCCCGTGTCCCTATGCCATGTCCAAGCACCATGTCCCCATGGGTGTCCCCATGCGTGGCCGGGCACCACGTCCCCACACATGTCCGTGGGCCGTGTCCCTGTCCCGTATCCCCGTGCCGTGTCCCCACGCGTGTCCCAGTGCTATGTCCCTGTCCTGTGTCCTTGTCCCGTGTCCCTATGCCA